CCTCACTTAATGACTTTCAATCAGTATTATTAGCTATTGACATAAGTGTAAAGTACATGTTCTCAGCTTCCTCCCAATTTTCAGGTTCTGAAAATGTAATATTTTGCAATATAAAGCCAAAGTGTTCCTCATACATATTGCTTTCAACTTCATACTGTAAAAAGTTTTCCTTTGCAAAATTTATTTGCCCTTCAGAAATATTAAGAGCTAAGCCATCAACTCCTCCGTGCCTTTCTGGAAGATGATAGAGTTCATCAGGTATACCCGCAACTGTGTCATGTCTAGAAGCCCTCATACGGTGGGTGTTCCATTGCTCTTTCACCAGATCCAGATCTTTTTGGATTAAAGATGAAAAACAAATCCAAAGGCATTCCATTTCAAGACCATTATCTGTATTAAGGTGACCCCTTTCTATCATGTCTTTAAAATAGTTCATCCACCATGTTGACCTGCTTCTTCTCAATTGTGACCACCAGGATTCAATTCTCTGGTTAGCTGGGGATGTTCCAAAAAATGGGCATCTGAGGAGGAGCGAAATTCGCACTGCAATGCAGCCATAACGCCATTCTCTGTTCCACAGTCTGATCGCAATTTCACAGGACAGCCATATTCTGCCACACTTTCAACATAGAACAGTCCAGGAACTATTGGGTTGTTATTGGATCTTGCAACACGAAGCCAAATAATTTTCCTGCTCCATCCATCTATGCAGCCGTGGATGGGGAAACCATATGGCTTCAGTTTATCATATCCGTCAGTGTGCCAGCAATGGTTGGGACCAGGCACCCGATATGTCCTTCTGCGTAAGCGCCTTGCTTTCCTGATTTGGCATCCTTCAGGGTCAAGTTCTCTCATTAGTTGCTCAACAACATTACGTGGTACTTGATGGCCACCAATACAGAGTGCATGCCACATGGAACGATATCCTCCCATGCAGGCAGGTCCTCGTAGTTTCTCCTGTATTAAACCTCGTATTTCGTCTAAATTATACTCTGGTGATCTTCTTCTCAAACCATAGGCGTTTAAACGTGATCTCAATGTACGCTCTGACATTGATATCCCATGTCGTTTAGAAAGAAAATCTACAATAGCATTATATTGGAATCCTCTAGCGAAGTAATACTCGATTATATCTCTTTCATCTTCTGAATCACTGGATGCACTCGACATTTAAATATATTTACAAGTCACAACTATTTTTTTCTAAACAAAAATCCAAGTGCCTTGAGTATTCCTATTTCTCTGTAACATGATCAGTAATGGTCAGCGGTAACTCATGTGAAATATTGAATCACAAAAATTTCTGTTGAAAATAAATTTCGGCTGAAAACAAATTTCGGCTGAAAACAAATTTCGGTTGAAAATAAATTTCGGCTGAAAATAAATTTCGGCTGAAAACAAATTTCGGCTGAAAATAAATTTCGGCTGAAAACAAATTTCGGCTAAAAATAAATTTCGGCTGAAAACAAATTTCTGTTGAAAACAAATTTCGGCTGAAAACAAATTTCGGCTGAAAATAAATTTCGGCTGAAAATAAATTTCGGCTGAAAATAAATACTAACTGAAAATAATTTTCACAGAAAAAAAGTCGGTTTGAAAACAAATTTCGGTTGGAAAACAACGAATTCGGCCAGAAAAAAATTCGCTCAGCAAGATTAATAATAAAAACTGTATATTAAATTTAATTTGTGTGTTGCCGTTGTGGGCCACCGTAGTTATGCCTTAAAGGCACAGTTCAACCTGTTGAACGATGGTTTTTAAGGCGCATTTCAGCTCTTTTAATTGAAAAAAACTAACTAGGAAAATCAATTAAGCATAATTCAAGATCACCAAACTCAATGTTTTTAACATTTTAAAACATCTTTATTGTTAAAAACATCGAGTTTACTGATTTTGAATTATACTTAATTGATTTTCCTAGTTTTTTTCAATTAAAAGGGCTGAAATGCGCCTTAATAACCATCGTTCAAAAGGCTGAACTGTGCCTTTAAGGCGGATTTCCATTCGGTGGAAAAAGTCGCTCGATCGACTTTTTGCGATCACTTTCTTTTCAAATGCGAGCAATCAAGCGCAACGGATGAGGTTGACTGCACGCATTTGAAAAGAAAGTGATCGCAAAAAGTCGATCGAGCGACTTTTTCCACCGAATGGAAATCCGCCTTTATAATTATACTCTTGTCGACCTTCTCAACTTTAGCATGCAAATTAATTCCCCCATTTTAGACTATGTAATGTTCAAATCTTTTATCACTCCTTGTATTTATGCATTTTACATTTTGTTCATGATCATGAATAAGAATGAAAATACGCTTGAAGGCAAAGAGTGATAAAAGATGTAAACATTACATTCCACACGACTTGAAATGGGCAAATTAAGTTGAGGAGGTCTTTACAGTATTAACTCATGTCAAAGTTGTTGATTTAGTTCTGATCTTTATTCTCAGCGTTTATCTGTTCCTTCTTGAATTTCTCAACATTCACGAAAATCCAGTATCGTACAAAGTGATTGCTACCCGAGACAAAATACTGTATGGATACAGTTTTCGAAATATCACAGGCATACCAACAATGAATCAATGTTTGGCAAAATGTTTGGAAGATTGCAAATGTTTGTCATTTCAAATTTGTGACCAGGATAAGATGTGTCAGCTTTGTTCTAAAAATCGTAAACAAAGTGAAGAATCTTTCCGACTGGGACAAGAATGTACCAGCTTTCTTTTTGAAAGAGAACGACCTCTCAAGGTTAGTGGGTGACATTATTACTTTCACACGTCGAACATTTTCTGCTGCGTCATTGATATTATTTTCCCTTTCTTTCTTCCCTCTTTAAAGGCACACTTCAGCCTTTTGAACGATGGTTTTTAAGGCGCATTTCAGCCCTTTTAATTGAAAAAACTAACTAGGAAAATCAATTAAGTATAATTCAAAATCAGTAAACTCGATGTTTTTAACAATAAAGATGTTTTAAAATGTTAAAAACATTGAGTTTGGTGATCTTGAATTATGCTTAATTGATTTTCCTAGTTAGTTTTTTTTCAATTAAAAGAGCTGAAATGCGCCTTAAAAACCATCGTTCAACAGGCTGAACTGTGCCTTTAAATATTGTAGTTTTGTGTACGCTTTTTTTTACTTCACCACACCGCTTCTTTTACTATTTTACCTAAATATATGCTATTTTAATTAACTAAATTTACCTAAATATATGCTATTTTAACTTTTGCTATTTTAACTTGCAGCTAATTTCCAATCAATGACTTGACGTTTACTAGATAATGAAACAAGAATTGACAAAACAATTAAGAACTCAGAAATAGGACTTCAGGGATACGACTTAACAAGACGTGACAGAAATAGACGCGGTGGGGGTGTAGCAATATACATACGTAATACCATACCATACCATACGTGGAGAGGTCAACAATAATCCCTGAAAATGTAGAGGCAGTATGTATCGAAGTAAGAAAGCCGAATGCCAAGCCCGAGGGGCATTTCACTCCAAAAAAGCGTACGGGATTTTCGGATTTTTAAAAATCCGCGGATTTTTTAGCGGATTTAGCGGATTTTTCCCGGAGTTTTTAGCGGATTTTTGAAGAGAAAATTTGCTGGATTTTCCGGATTTGTTCCGATTTTTTCTGGATTTTTGAAAATCTGTTGGATTTTCCGGATTTGTTTGGATTTTCCGGATTTGTTCGGATTTTTTCTGGATTTTTTTTAATTATAGAGTTATAGAGCTAGGTAACGTTTTGATGTCAACGTTATGCCAGGACGTCAGGGTCGAGCAGAGGACTGGGACTAGGACCACAGCCTTCAGAAACTAACGAAGGCTGGGCATGCAGTCATTTTGTTTAAAATTCAAACAAGTTCATTATTCTTTCAAAAACAGTAAAAGACAATGGTGAATAACTTTTGGTTTTGTAATTATATTTTACAACATAACGTTATTGTAACAAGAACACATATTTAGTAGTAATAGGCTAAAACAACTTAGCGTATACTCGAGCGTATAAATGGAAATGTAGAGTGGTCCAATAATTACGAAATATAATGACAGCGATCACCAGGGGCGTGGCGACTGGGGGGTCTTGCG